GCAAACAGGCATGCAGGACCTGTGTAAGTCCGTTGTTTCCTAGATGGGCCCTGATGGTAGGCACTGGGTTTCATCCTTGAGCACCTACGCTTCTACTTCCTTAGGCCTCCTTTTAAGCAGTTGGTATCCATAGAAACCTTGAACTTCACAGGTGTGACTCAAGCTCTCTCCTCCCTGGTAATCAAACTGTGTAATGCAATCCAAAGGGAGGTTAATTCAAGGCCTCGTTCCGCTTTTTAGATTCACAAACACGCATTGTACACATACACCTCTGGTAGCATTGCACATGGAGCTCAATCTGTTAAATTCCCAAGAGAAACCAGTTGTGTCTTTGAAATAGAAATGCTGCCTGCCTCTATGTCTGAGTGTAGCACACTTTGCAAAAATAATGACCAGTCCCTAGGCTGGGGAAGAACTCTCGCCCAGTGCCAGGGTGTGACATTGAGCTCCCTGCAGGCCTTTTACGCCCTTTAACGAAGGAGATGGGCTGTTCCCTCCCATCAAGAGAATGGGTGCGAGCTTCCCCCAGCTGCCTTCTCCCATGATCAGTGTTTAACTGGAGCGGCTTGACGTCTCACAGCGATGAAAACCTCGCTGTCAGACAGCTGTTACGACCATGCTGAAGTCGGTGCACCCGAATACACCTGAAACAAAGCACTTCACAGACCTTGCCCTCTCCAGAAATACAAAAAAAAAAAAACAGCCCTGTGTCTGGGCCCCCCACAAATACCTCTCCTCCCAGGCAGCCTTGCTCTCTGCTATCAGCAGAGAAGAGCTCTCTCATTTGCTCTCTTATGTTAAGACAGTGCTTAAAATGTGGGCCCTGGGCCGGTGCCACAGCTCACTAGGCTAATCCTTCGCCTGCGGCGCCGGCACACCGGGTTCTAGTCCCGGTCGGGGCGCTGGATTCTGTCCCGGTTGCCCCTCTTCCAGGCCAGCTCTCTGCTGTGGCTCGGAGTGCAGTGGAGGATGGCCCAAGTGCTTGGGCCCTGCACCCCATGGGAGACCAGGAAAAGCACCTGGCTCATGCTTTCGGATCAGCACGGTGCGCTGGCTGCAGCGCCCCGGCCGCGGCGGCCATTGGAGGGTGAACCAATGGCAAAAGGAAGACCTTTCTCTCTGTCTCTCTCTGTCCACTCTGCCTGTCCAAAAAAAAAAAAAAAAAAAGTGGGCCCTGGAGTGCTAGGCCTCTGAGATGCTTCAGGCAATAAAAGGGAATCCCTAGTCATGTGGGTGTGGGGGGTGCTGCCTGCCAGGCTCCCTGTCCTGCTGTGTGTTGTCACCCTTGTGGGGAGCAACTCGGACTAGACTGTTACTGGAATTAAGACTTATTCTATGCATCTGCTCTCCCACAATATGGCGCTGGGAGAGGAGGAAACAGCTTCTACACAGCTGCCTCCAGTTCAACCAATAAACTGTAGGACCTGCTCCTGATTGGAGGAGAGCAGCGTACTCGGCATGTGGGTAGCAGAGTTGGGATTGGTGGAAGAGGACTATAAAGGAGGAGAGAGACAACATGCATCAGGAACATCTATCCGAATAACACCTGAGCAGCCCCCTAGAGAGCCGGCCGGCGGTGTGCCGCTCCCCCACGGAAGTGGGGAAAGTGGCAGGGGGAACCGCCCTTCCACGGAGGTGGAAGGGACGGTAGCCAACCCGGGAAGAACCAGCAGCAAACCCGGGGAGGGCCGAGCAGACGAAAGAACAGTGCAGGGTCCTGTGTCGTTCCTCCACGAAGATAGGGAGCGACAACCCTAGCCACATGGGCTTCTCTGTACACTTTCAAACAAGACACTGTGCCGTGAAAGTGGTAGACTCAGCAACTCTTCTTTGTTTCATCTTGCTTCCTACCTTCTGATGATTCTGCTGCAGAACCATTTAGGTAACAGCAGATAGGTCAGCCAGCTTGTACCGGGAGAGTCTCTGGTATCTGCCCAGTAAGAGACCCTGAGGCCAACCATTCCTGGAAGCTGTGTATATCCCCTTCCTCCTCCTCCCTCCAGGTGAAAGCAGTGCTTGACAGCCCTGTAGCACCTGCTTTCCTCACCTGCCCTGTAAGTGGGATGGACTATTGGAATGGTCCTTCCCTCCATCCCTGATATAACCAAGGGGATGGGTTGGGTCCTACCTGCAAGAGTGTCTGATTCAGGATGCTCCTGGAGGTGGCTGGAGAACGCTTTCCAAGACTGAGTGGTGTGGAAGAGCTTCCCTGAATGAGGGGTGATACGCTGTCAGGAAATCTCATTTCCTGCTGTGTCATGGGACATTTAAATCTGCAGATTATCATTAAGTGTGCTATTAGATAAATCAAGTTCTTGGTAATCCTGTTTTGCTATCTGTGCAATGTTGGCTTATGAAAAATATTTTAACATACTTTTCTGACTCTAGAAATAATATTTGTCTATTATTAGAAGTTCTGGGAAAATAAAAGAAAATCACAGTCACCCCAAATTATATTTCCTAGAAATAACTACCATTAATATCATGGCATATGTAGGTGTATTTTCATCCAGTTATGCACACAACATAATACAACATGCACACACAAATACACAGAATCTGACAAGAGTTGGAGGAAGGGAAGGAAGAAATCCGAGGTACGAGTGTTCCTCCAGTATGTCCATTTGTCTCCGTGGCCCACTGCCACCACCCCATCCTGTTCATGAGCATCGATTTGTCACTGTAGCAAATGGAGTCAGGAAGCCACTGCTGACTGGCCATCCCCCGACTTTAAAAAAATTTTTTTAATCTATTTTCATTTTATCTGAGAGACAGAGAGAGAGAGAGATCTTCCATCTGTTGTTTCAATCCCAGAATGCCTATAAGAGCCAGGGCTGCGCCAGGCTGAAGCCAAGAGCCAGGAACTCCATCTTCCATGTGGATGGCAGGAATCCAGCTGCTTGAGCCATCACCTGCTGCCCCCGGGGTGTGCATTAGCAGGAGGCTGGATCAGAAGTGAGCAGCTGGTATGGAACCTGGCACTCTGATGTGGGATACAGGCGTCCCGAGCAGCATCTCAACTGCTTATCAGATGTCCACCCCCGTCTCCTGACCTTGAGACCAGTTGCTGCTTCAGCCCAGCCCAAGAGGAAGCAAGTAGAGAGGAGTTTCCAGGCAACAGTGGATTTCTTTTCTAATAATTTCACGTCTGCCTTCTTTAGCAAAAGACTTTTGGAGCGCTGGAATACGTGTTTGATAAAAACGTTTCTGGCAAATATTTTGTTCTTAAAACCAGTGTTTGATGAAAGGTCAGCAGCCCCCATTGTGCCAGCTTAGTCCCCATCTGAATAAAGTAGAAGCCTGTGTTTGCTATACAACCATAGTATCTGAGAACTACGGACCAAAGAGATCATTAGTCCATTGCTTTCCAGAATCTGTTCTTAGCGGAGAATGCCTTTTCATTTGCCTCCTCATACAAAGCCAAGATACATGCTGGCCAGAGCGTTACTCGTTTTAGAAAAATAGAGTTGGACCTGTGGTCCAGACTCAGCCTCACACCCACCCCACCCTTGGCAACCCCAGTGCTAAGGAGGATTCTTAAAGCTCTGAAGAACATGGCTTATAAATTACAAGTTTCCCAGCCCTCTGCTAATGTGCCTGGGAAGGCAGTGGAAGATGGCCCAAGCACCTGGGCCTCTGCCACCCAAGCGGGAGACCTGGATGGAGTTCTTGGCTCCTGGTATTGATCAGGCCCAGTCAGAAGAGGTGAGATGTCTTTCTGTCACTCTGCCTTTCAAATAAATAAAATACATCTCTAAAAATTGAATCTGGTTCTGTATCTTATAGATGTGAAAATGGAGACCTGTGGATAAAATAATAAATAGTTAATAAAATGAAGGGATCCGAAGCCTGGTGCTTCTACATCTCTTTCATATCCTTGAGAGATTCCTTTCAGGGCCCGGGAATCCCTTTCGAGGCTTACATTTCTTTACTGAGCTCGGGGCAATCACAGTCACACAGCCAGCTCCTTGAGTAGCAGAATTACACCTCTCATTGCACTGAGATACGTGAAGACGACTGTTGGCATCTTTCTGCAGCTATTTCAACATGTGTACTTTTTTTTTTATTGTCATTTGTTATTTATTTTCTTTTTTTTTAACTAAAATTTAATGAATATAAATTTCCAAAGTACAGAATATTGATTACAATGACTTCCCCCCAATAACGTCCCTCCAACCCGCAACCCTCCCCTTATCCACTCCCTCTCCCCTTCCATTCATGTCAAGATTCATTTTCGATTCTCTTTATATACAGAAGATCAGTTTAGCATACATTAAGTAAAGATTTCAACAGTTTGCTCCCACACAGAAACATAAAGTGAAAAATACTGTTTGAGTACTAGTTATAGCATTAAATCTCAATGTACAGCACACTAAGGACAAAGATCCTACATGAGGAGTAAGTGCACAGTGACTCCTGTTGTTGACTTAACAAATTGACACTCTTGTTTATGGCCTCAGTAATCACCCTAGGCTCTTGTCATGAGCTGCCAAGGCTATGGAAGCCCCTGGGTTCACTGACTCTGATCATTTTTAGACAAGGCCATGGTCAAAGTGGAAGTTCTCTCCTCCCTTCAGAGACAGGTACCTCCTTCTTTGATGACCTATTCTTTCCACTGGGATAACATGTGTACTTTTTAAACAAAAATTTATTTGAAAGGCAGAGAGAGAGAGAGCGCGCGCAAGTATGAGAGACAGAGATCTTCCATTTACTGGTTTACTCCCTAAATGCCTGCAACAGCCAGAGCTGCTCCAGGCCATAGGCAGGAGCTAGAAACTCCATCTGAGTCTCCCCCAAGGGTAGAATGGACCAAAATACTCGAGCCGTTACCTGTTACCTCCCAGGTGCAGTGGCAGGAAGCCAGATGGGAAACAAAGGCTCAATTCCAGGTACTCTGATGGGGATGCGGGGTCCCAACCCGCTGTGCCACAATGCCCGCCCCTCGCCACGTGTCAGTTGTCAGAGGTGTGAGTTATGCCTGTTGCTTCTCGTCCACGCAGAGTATCTCAGGAGCATCTCCTTGCCGGTGCCCGTCCTGGTGGAGGACACGAGCAGCAGCAGCGAGTACGGCTCTGTTTCCCCCGACACTGAGCTAAAGGCGGACCCCTTCTCCTTCAAAACCAGAGCCAAATCCTGCGGCGAGAAAGATGTCAAAGGAATACGGACCCTCTTCCTGGGGTAAAGGGCTGCCTGGCCCGGGGGGCGGGCGCGTGGCTCCCCGGGACCTTGCGCCTCATGCCGCTCCCCTCGTTTCAGCATTCCAGATGAGAACTTCGAGGACCACAGCGCGCCCCCTTCCCCCGAGGAGAAGGACTCTGGGTTCTTCCTGCTGCGGAAGGACAGCGAGCGCCGCGCCACGCTGCACAGGATCCTGACTGAAGACCAAGACAAAATTGTGAGAAACCTGATGGAATCTCTAGCTCAGGTACGGCCCCACCCCCACCCCCACCCCCACCCCCACCCCGCAGTGGTACTTTGTGTCCAGAGCTTACAAGTTCTCCCTGTGTCACAGCACCTGGGGCTGTCACAGAGCATGGGAGCCATGAGGCCCCTGAGGTGCTCGCCGTGATAGACTATCCCGGGAATGGGAAGAAGCAGTTTCTAATGTAGAGACTGGAATGGGGAAGCTATTCTTTTTTTAAAAAGATTTTATTTATTTATGTGAAACGGAGAGTTACAGAGAGAGGGAGAGACAGAGAGAAAGGACCTCCATCTGCTGGCTTGCTCCCCAAATGGCCGCAATGGCTAGAGCTGTGCCAATCTGAAGCCAGGAGCCAGGAGCTTCTACTGGATCTCCCATGTGGGAACAGAGGCTCAAGCACTTGGGCCATCTTCTACTGCTTTCCCAGGCCATAGCAGAGAGCTGGATCTGAAGAGGAGCAGCCGGGACACGAACCAGTGCCCATATGGGATGCCGGCTCTGCAGGTGGAGGCTTAGTGTCCCCCCAGGAAGCTATTTTTAAGTCAGAAGCAATTTTTTTTTATGTTGGAGAGGTTACAGCCAGTCCCTTTCAGCCCTGTTTGTTCATTTGTTTATTCTTTTAATTCCATTTGTTCAGTCAACAGGCCTTGAGCCTTGTGTACCTCTGACTCCCATGTTAGCAGGAAGCCACCTGCCAGCTGTGGTTTTGAATGTTTGGGAAGCATCACAACCACAGCAGAGACGTGGTTCTTGTGGCACTGGGTTCAGATGCAGGGTGACAGCTCTAAGAAGTCTCTGCTGTTCGCTGTTAGAGGGTTCTGTGTGCAGTGAACCAAGCAATTCTGGGTGATGAAGTTGTTGCTCCGTGGTGTATTTGTGTGCTAGAGATGCTGAAGCAAAATACCACAGGCTAGGAGGCTTCAGCCACAGATGTTTGTTTTCTCTGAGTTCTAGAATTGACAAGTCCAAGGTCAAGATGTCAGAGGCTTTGGTTTCTCCGAAGACCTCTCTCCTAGGTATGCAGATGGTTTCCTTCTCGCTGTGCCTTCACATGGACTTTTCTCTGTACAGGTGAACCCCTGCTGCCTCTTATTTTTAATTAAGATTTATTTCCTTATTTATTTATTTATTTGAAATGCAGAGAGAGATCTTCCATCCACTGGTTTACTCCCCAAATGGCTGCAACAACCAAGTCTGGGCCAGGCTGAAGCCAGGAACCAGGAAGTATATCCAGTATCTCAGTTGGGTGGCAGGGGCTTGGGCTGTCCTCCAACTGCCTTCCCAGGTATGTAAGCAGGGAGCTGGATTGGCAGTGGAGCAGCCAGGACTGGAACCAGCTCTCTGATAATGGGAAGCCAGTTTTGTAACCCTGGTCCCTGGTGCCTGTTCTTGTAAGGACACCAGTCTGATGGGACTAGGGACCCACCCTTATGACCTCATGTAACCTTCATGAGACCTTCATGAAGAGGCCATCTCTCGAAATAGGGTCACATTAGAAGTTAAGGCACCAGCATATGAATTCAGTCCCTAATACCTAGGAAAGTGTGTTCACTGGTATTCTGATTACAGAGATGAGAAATCCCTGCCTCCCCAAATAGGCATGAGTAGACACAGACTTTCCCTCATCTCCAAGCTGCTGGCGGCAGCTCAGGCCCACGTGGAGAGGAGCCTTCCTCAGAAGTACTTGGGGGCTGGTGCTGTAATGTAGCGGTAAAGCTGCCGCCTACAGTGCCGGCATCCTATATGGGCACTGATTCAAGTCCCGCCTGGTCCACTTCTGATGCAGCTCTCTGCTGTGGCCTGGGAAAGCAATAGAGGATGACCCAGGTCCTTGTGCCCCTGCACCCCCGTGGAAGACCCAGAAGAAGCTCCTGGCTCCTGGCTTCAGATCGGCACACCTCTGGCTGTTGCGGCCATTTGGGGAGTGAACCAGTGGATAGAGGATCTCTTTCTCTCCTCCCTCTCTCTCTGCCTCTGCCTCTGCCCCTGCCTCTCTGTAACTCTGCCTTTCAAATAAGTAAATAAATCTTTAAAAAAAAAAGTACTTGGTCCCACACATGATCTTTCAGTTCTCTGGACATCGAGGACAAGTCTGCCTGCACCTGTGGCCACCACATGATTGCTGTGGACTGCACACAGCCTCTTCCTTCCTTTCTGTCCTGGGAAAACATCTGCAGAAAAGGATGGATCTAGGGGTCAGATAATGAGCCAAGCCTATAAAGTGTCTCTGTCCAAGAGTCTGCCTGTTATCTTGCATTGAGATGTAGCTGGCGCAAGGCTGTGTTCTGGGCTCTCTCTGTGCAGCCTCAGCTTGTCTCTGTCTTGAGAACCCCACCCTCTCTCTGCAGTCTTTTGAACCTGAATGCTTCATCACCCTAAGAACTCCCTGGTGTCCACCTCTTTGGCTCCCATCGAAGGAGCTGAAAGGCCATATGTATGTCAGTAGGGTCTCTGGTTACAAGAAGAACTGACATGGGCACCATCTGCACTCTGGGAGAACCCTGACTTGAGTCCTAGAGGAAAACTGGAGCAGTTGCTCGGTGGCCCACAAGGAGATGAGGGGATGGCTGGGCCTCTGAGCGGGGGGTAGGATGAATGTTGAGGGTGATGTGCGGGAAGGATGGGAGATTTGGAAGAGACCTGACCCGTCTGGAACCGTAAGCTTTGTCTCTTGCCTTTCTTTCTGCTCACTGTGGTCATCAAGGACTGAGGATAGGATGGGTGAAAAGAAGAGGATCCAAGTGTAGATGGAGGGGGCGGCCAGGCAGTACTTGGAGTTCATTCCTGCATTCACTCAATGAATTCTTACTGAGATCTGCTGAATGCCAAGCTCCATTTTATGTGCTGGGGCTACTGCAGTGACCAAAACAAACAAAATATGCATGCTACTCAAGTTAACATTCTAGTGGAGGGAGAAAAACAATAAAAAATTAGTAAATGCATATTAAGCATATAGTAATAGTAGCCAGCGTTTTCTGTAGACTAGGCATTGTTCTTAGTTTTTCATGAATATTTTCTCACTGTAGTTGAAGATCTCTTAGCATCCTCATGTTGACAAGTGAGGAAACCAAGGTACAGAGCACTCCTCCAGAGTAGCTTGCCAAGGTCATGGGGCCCAATTGATGGACTCAGGATATAGACCTCTGCATCTGGCTCCAGGGTCTATGCTCTTGAGCAGGACACGGTGCTGAGTCTCTGGTGTGCCAGACGGTGACAGGTGCTGGCAGAAACATAGAGCGGGGGAGGTAGGAAGGAGAGAAGGAAGGGAAATTACTGAGAGTGACTGCAGAGTAAAATCTTCTATAGCTACTAGTGTAGGATGCTTGTTTTTAGATCAGAAACATGTACAACTCTGTATTTGTTTTTATTTGATATTTGAAAGGCAGGGACAGAGAGAGAGAGAGAAGACGTGGAGACCAAGAGAGCTCTTCCCTCCATTGGTTCAGTCCCTTGCAACAGCAAGGGCTTGACCAGGCTGAAGCCAGGAGCCCAGAACTGCATCTGGGTTCCGTGCACGGGTGGAGGACCATCCTCTACTACCTCCGCGGGTGCCCATTAGCAGGAAAGCTGGAACAGAAGTGGAAGAACTGGGAGTCAAACCAAGCACTTCAGTAAGGGAGTGGGCATCCCAAGCAGTGAACCAGGACTGGAACCCAGTTTTTAAAGCACATGTGAATGTTTTCTGTAAAAGGAGAAATGAAAGAAATCTTCAAAGCAGCCATCAGAGGTTAAGCCTGGCTGCCTCAGCATGCAACTCCCCAGCTGCTGATCAGTCACGTTGCGCCACAAAGACTCCCTTTCCTGTGACTTCACACCATGCCTTAGTGGTTGAACCTGTCCTCACCCAGGTTTGCAGCTAGCCATTCCAGCTAATTGGGGCAGGAGAATGCCATGGTTAGGAACTTGGGCTCAGCTTGGACTCGGCTTCTGTATGAGGCTGGTCCCATCACTTAAAGCCTGTGCAAGCTATTTAACTTCTGAGAGCCCGAGCTTCCTAATCTGTAAAATAGAGGATTCTACCATGTTAGGTTGCTGTCAGGAGTAGCAGATATCATAAGTTATTTACATCATAACAGAAAATGTGTCACAAATGTCAACTCTTAGTATTGTTCTCAGTATCAAGCAGGTTAGTAAGAGTTACCTAAAATATTCAGTTTTTTTCTACTGCCAGATTGAAATCATTCTTTTCATTATATGAAATATTTCTGGGGGCTAGTGCTTTGGCAGAGTGGATGAAGCTGCCACCTGTAGCACCAGAATTCTATGTGGGCCCCAGTTCAAGTACTGGCTGTTCCACTTCCCATCTAGTTCCCTGCTAACGCACCTGGGAAAGCAGCCGAGTATGGCCCAAGTGCCTGGACCCCTGCATCCCACCTGGGAGACCTGGATGAAGTTCCTGGCTTCAGCCTGGCCTAATGCTGGCCATTGTGGCCATTTGGAGAGTGGACCAGTGGATAGAGGATCTCTCTTTCTCTCTCTGCCTCTCCCTCTCTCTCTATAACTCTGCCTTTCAAATAGATAAATAAATCTTTTTTAAAAATGAAATATTTCTATATGCATATTTACATTTAAGCCTATCCTTTATCATAAAACAACAGTGTAGATCCTAATCAGCTCCTCAAGCCATTAGACATAATAAATGCTTTTAACCTATAAAATCCTTCTGAAATACATTTTTTAAAAAATTATTTATGGGAGAACCAACCAAAAAAAAAGCTGTAATCCACTGGTTCACATTGATGAATATAGGGAACTGAAACCAGGAACCCAGAACTTACTCCAGGTATCCCATGTGGGTGGTGGCAGAGACCCAAGTACTAGACTCATCACTGCTGCCTCCCATAGTGCTCATTAACAGGAAACTGGAATGAGAAAATGGAGTTGGGGATCGAACTCAGGTACTCTGATGTGGAATGCAGACATTCCAGTTAGTGTTTTATCTGCCAAGCCAAATGTACGCTCCCACTGATGGTTTTTAAGGGAGTTCAGAGGGTGAAGAATGGACAGGCACACTGTCAAGTGCCACCTTTGGATACTGAATCAGCTGCCCTGGTCCCTAGCATGAACGTGATGAAGGCACATTACCGTGTTAATGTGGAGAGAAAGGAGTTAGAACAGAAACTGAAGCAGCCTGGACAGAGAGCCCCAGCAGAGACTGTTCCTTTCTGGGATAGTGACACTCACATCAAAGCCAGAAGCAAAATGTTTTTGTTTGTGAAAACAAATCTAATGTCACAAAATCTGTTTACTGTGTAAACTGTTGGCAAATGTAACTGATTTTTCACCATGATAAGCTTCCAATTTCTGAGTAACTCACATTCATATTTTTCTTGAACAGATTTTCATGGAGTTATGATTTTGCCTGTGAATCTTTGGGTGTAATTTAGTTTGTGGTAAGAAAAAAAGCCCAGAGTTTATCATTGTTCCCAGTCTGATTTTAAAATATTCCCTTAATGACAGATTTCAAGCTTTTTAATATAATCTCTTCTCATGAAAACACAAAACATGAGACAGAGCTCCCAAGTGAAAACATATTGAGAGAAAGGACTTGATGGTGCATTTTATTTTATTTTATTTTATTTTTGACAGAGTGGACAGTGAGAGAGAGAGACAGAGAGAAAGGTCTTCCTTTTGCCATTGGTTCACCCTCCAATGGCCGCCGCGGCCAGCGCGCTGCAGCCGGCGCACCGCGCTGATCCGAAGGCAGGAGCCAGGTGCTTCTCCTGGTCTCCCATGGGGTGCAGGGCTCAAGCACTTGGGCCATCCTCCACTGCACACCCAGGCCACAGCAGAGAGCTGGCCTGGAAGAGGGGCAACCGGGACAGAATCTGGCGCCCCGACCAGGACTAGAACCCCGTGTGTTGGTGCTGCAAGGCGGAGGATTAGCCTAGTGAGCCGCGGCGCCGGCCCCCGAATGTATTTTAATGTGTAAAATAGTCCATTGGTACAATTTTTTTTTTTTTTTTTTGACAGGCAGAGTTAGAGACAGAGAGAAAGGTCCTCCTTCCATTGGTTCACCCTCCAAATGGCTGCTACGGCCGGAACTGTGCCGATCCAAATCCAGGAGCAAGGCGCTCCCTCCTGGTCTCCCATGCGGGTGCAAGGCCCAAGCACTTGGACCATCCTCCACTGCCCTCCCGGGCCACAGCAGAGAGCTGGACTGGAGGAGGAGCAACCGGGACAGAATCCGGCGCCCCAACTGGGACTAGAACCGGGGTGCTGGCGCCACAGGCGGAAGAGTAGTCTAGTGAGCCTCGGCATCAGCCATTGGTCCATTCTTAAAGTAATCCCCACATTGTTGGGTAAGAAATGGTTTCAAGTATGGAGTATGAGGTCAGTCCCTTTGATTGCCAGAAACTGACACATGGTAAGGGTGTGTTGTAGACACATGCAACAGTGAGAAAGGTGGATTCTAACCATATTGCCTGGCCAGCTTCATGGAGACTGACATTTGAGTATGATTCCAAGGACTTAAAGCTCTAGGAGTTTGGGGTGCATTTCTGGAGTCCCTGTCTATTGTAATTCTCAATTCCATTGTTCCTGCTTCTTTCCTTAATTGGGTGTACTCATGACCCTGCTTTATTACTTCTCTCTCTGGGCAAATTTTGAGATTGAGCTTATATGTCTTATTACATGAATCTCTCTTTAGTTCTCCACTAAAGTTTCTGAAAGTAAGAATCTTAGTGCCTCAGCCTTCCCCTGTTTGGGCAAAGCCTGTGTCATGGCTGCTCCAGGAGATGGAGTAAATTAAATGCTCTTTCATCCAAAGTCTTAGCGGTGGAGGGAGCTTAGGTGGAGACGTGTTAGCTGAAAGTACCATCTTTTTCCCTAGCAGCAGGCATGTTGAATAAAGCCCAGTCCTTCTCAGCAAGTGCGGTGGGAATACCCATGGCTGATAGATTCAACACACATTGAGGGATTGTTGCTCTTTTTTTCCCCCAGGGGGCTGAAGAACCTAAACTAAAATGGGAGCACATCACAACTCTCATTGCAAGCCTCAGAGAATTTGTGAGATCCACTGACCGAAAAATTATAGCCACTACACTGTCTAAGCTGAAATTAGAGCTGGACTTCGACAGCCATGGCATCAGCCAAGTCCAGGTGGTGCTCTTTGGCTTCCAGGATGCTGTAAGTATGATGTGTTACCCATGATTTCCACAAACTCAAGCTCAGATGGATCAGAAGAAAATAGGATAATACATGAATTTTACTGTTTTCTTTCTTCAGTGATTTCAAACTCTTTCCTTTGGATGATAAATGCAAGGTATTTGCCTGTCTGTGTGCTTCTAAGTTATCAGAAGATTGTTTCCTATGTTTGCATCCCTGAAGTTAGATACACATAAAACAGAATCATCATGGGAAACAGAAAAATTACAAGTGTCTACCCTTCCTGAACTTTGTTCTTATGAAATCGTGTGGTGGGTCACTGTTTATTTTGACAGCTTTAGCAATATAAGCATGCTTTTGTCATGCACCATCTAAAGCTATATGAGAAATGCCACCTAGTGGCCATTGAAAGAAATTTCCTAATACAGACCCTAAAACTATCACTATTGCATAAAACCACTCATTCCTAAACACCCACTGCCCTGTTTTTCTATAGGTTCCACGCAGAACATTTTTAACATACTTATTTCATAAATATCCACTGTGTCCTATCCATAAATGTACATCAGAGCATCACTGACTGAAAATTAATCCATGTGATCTAGTGAGAGCTTGCTAAGAATTCTTTTCTCTAAAGTTGAGTTGCTATGCAACACAAGCTGGAGGCCAATATTCTGAATGCCTTATCCAAAACCCTCTGTGTTTTTCTTGGATAAGACTTATCTGTGGAACGTTGTGCAGAAACATAATAATAATAAAGTCCTAGGCCACTCCCAGGAGATTGAAGTCTGAGGGTTCTTGACAGTGCCCATTATATAAATGTGGCAGTACTTTGTATAATTTTATTTAAATTACAAAAATTAACTCATGCTTAATGCATGTGTCATTCCTGTGAAGGTATCTTGGCGGTTGCAATTACGGTATCAAATGATCTCTGATTTAAAACCAAGTGGTAACTTCTCCAGTAGTGTTCTCTGAGACACTGTGTGATCCAAGTGGCTCTTGTGCTATTTGGTGGGCGAGTACCAGAGCCCCGACTTGATTGAGGTCCTAGGAATAAGAGTGACCAGCAATGCCTGTCAACAGTATTAAAGGCTGAAGCGTGCTCTCTGCAACTAGGGAAACCCAGCCAAGTGCAAGCAGCGTGAAATAACCCAGCTGATTTTGCCCCTGCCTACACATTCGGTTTCCTGTCTGGAAGTGGGAGAGCGAATTGGCTGCAGTATTCATATTGAGAGCTTTTACATCGTAATCCTGGGTTATAGACAGATACCATACCGCTCCACCACCACACTTGCTCACTCTGCCCAGAGTGAAATTAACCCAAAGAATGGATCCTACGTAGTATAATGTGGAATGAAGAGCTATGAGGAGCAGGTCATGGTTATTAGGCATCCCTCTCCCACCTGGTGTGTGTGACTCTTTACAGAAACATTCTAGCTCACTACCTGTTACTCACATAAGTCTATTAAAGAAATGAAGTGACCATGACACACTCAGACTGAGCATTTTCAGCAGTGTTTCATAGCATTGAGAACAACTACTAGGAGGAAGTCCTCAGACTGTCTTCTAACCCAAGGGGATGTGATGAAGATGGATCAAGGGGAGGACGGAGCACCTAGAGCTCCAGCTCCTGGCATGGGTTTGCTGCCACCTCTCCTGCCGGCTCAGAAGTCTCTAACCTGAGCCCTGTTGGGCAAGTAGACATTTTAGAAGTCTGCATCAACCAACAAGTAGTGGAGTTAATCCCAACCCTAAATGAACCTCCCTTAGCCTTATGATAAAGGGGTGTTTTTGTTAAAAGGTAGTGTACATGGCCAGTGCCGCAGCTCACTTGGCTAATCCTCTGCCTGCGGCGCCAGCACCCCGGGTTCTAGTTTCAGTTGGGGCGCCAGCTACTAGTCCTGGTTGTTCCTCTTCCAGTCCAGCTCTCTGCTGTGGCCCGGGAGGGCAGTGGAGGATGGCCCAAGTGCTTGGGTCCCTGCACCTGCATGGGAGACCAGGAAGAAGCACCTGGCTCCTAGCTTCAGATCAGCACAGCGCCGGTTGTGGCGGCCATTAGGGGAGTGAACCAACGGAAGGAAGACCTTTATCTCTGTCGCTCTCTCATTGTTTATAACTCTCTCTCTCTCTCTCTCTTACTGTCAAAAAAAAAAAAAAGGTAGTATACGTAAGACATACATACAGTATAATATTATTCAGTCTTAAAAAGGAAGGGGAGGGGCTGGCGCCGTGGCTCACTTGGTTAATCCTCCACCTGTGGCGCCGGCAGACCATATGGGTGCCGGGTTCTAGTCCCGGTTGCTCTTCTTCCAGTCCAGCTCTCTGCTGTGGCCCCAGGAAGGCAGTGGAGGATGGCCCAAGTGCCTGGGCCCTGCACCCGCATGGGAGACCAGGAGGAAGCACCTGGCTCCTGGCTTCGGATCGGTGCAGTGCGCCGGCCGTAGAGGCCATTTGGGGGGTGAACCAACGGAAGGAAGACCTTTCTCTCTGTCTCTCTCTCTCTCTAACTCTGCCTGTCAAATTAAAAAAAAATACATAAAAAGGAAGGGGATTCTGACGCAGGCTACAACACAGATAAACCTTAGGATGTTACATCAAGTAAAAGAAGCCAATCACCAAAAGCTACCTACTGTGTGACTTCACTGACATGAGGTACCTAAGGGAGTGAGATTCATGGAGACACAGTAGAATGACGGTTTCCAGTACCCACCAGGAGGAGGAGAATGGGGAGTTACTATTTAATGAGTATAAAGCTTGTTTCGCAAGATGAGAAGAGTTCTGTGGATGGATAGTTTTGATGGAGGCACAGTAATGTGTTCAGTTGGTAACTTGTACATCATGTAGGTTTTACCATGATTTTTCAGAAAGGCCAGAAGGTAGTGCACACATCCATTTCTGTGTCTGTCTAAATATGTGAAATGTTACCAGTCTGCAGAAGGATATCCTTACAGCAGAGCTGTGGAATGGGCCCAGGATTTCTGTGCTGTTTTAGCGGATTATTCCTCTGTGTCCAGAGGTAGACACAAGTGTGGGGAGGCCTGCACTGTGACGAACCCGTGGCCAGCACAGCAGTGCTACCTCCTCCCTTGGTCTGCTTCTTCCTAGCCCCAGAAAAGGCTGATGCACTTGACCGAGTTTAACTTCAGTCACAATGCATTCAGAACGACGTGTATTTCTGTTTAAAACCCCTTGGACTCCCTTCTTCCTTTACCCTCAAACACCATTCTGCACAAGCCATAAAAGCCAGAGGATGCTTCTTTTGAGTCTCAAAGAACCAGATTGCCTTCCACTTAAATAACTTCTCTTTTTTGTTGACATGGAGCTCACTAAAGGTTGATTTGAAGTGGAGGTTTTTAATTTGTTTTCTCATGACATAAAGAAATTATGTGTAACTCAAAGAGAAGAAATTGTTTAGTTATTTTTTTGTAGATAGAACTTCATCCAAGTGCTTGGATCAGCTGGGTTATTTCAGATTAAAAATTAAAGTTGGCTGCATGTCATGCTCTTTTCCAGGTCAATAAAGTTCTTCGGAATCATAATATCAAGCCACACTGGATGTTCGCCTTGGACAGTATCATCCGAAAGGCAGTACAGACAGCTATTACCATTCTTGTTCCAGGTCAGCAATTTTTAATTACTCTGCAAACGCTTTTTTTAAAAAGATTGATTTAAGAGGTAGAGTTACAGAGAGAGAGAGAGAGAGAGAGAGAGAGAGAGATAGATTCCGTCCACTGGTTCACTCTCCAAATGGCCACAATGGCCAGAGCTAGGCCAATCTGAAGCCAGGAGCCAGGAGCTTCTTCTTGGTCCCCAGTGGGCCACTTTAACTGCTTTCCCAGGCCATAGCAGAAAGCTGGATCAGAAGTGGAGCAGCCAGGACTCAACTGGTGCTCGTATGAGATGCCAACACTGTAGGCAGCAGCTTTATCTGCTAAACCACAGTCCAGCCCCCTCGTTTTCAATGTTGGATTACTCTTCATTTATCATCTCTGACATCTCTATAGTGTAAGAACATAGTAGACCTTAAGAAAAATCCTTCCGAAGCCACTATTTAACATGTATCTGGTGCATACAATCTGAGTGATGGTACACTGAGCATAATGTTTACTGTGAGAGAGGAAGACCTGCTTCCTTGGCTTTAAAGAATATGTTTGCATTTGAAGAGAAACATAAAATTATACAGGTGACCCAAATAAATATGCCTTTCAATATACAGATGCCTGAGTTCAGGAAACACATTCCTGTGTCATTGGTTCCCAAATCTGCCTGCACCTTGGGTGATAAATAAGGAGTTCATTAATATTATAGTTTTCAGAGTCCCCCCAAGAACCAAGTAAGACTCTGTTGGAGATAAAGTCCAGAACTCTGAATTTTTTAAAAAATGTTTTAATTATTTATTTAATAGCCAGAGTTGCAGAGAGAGGGAGGGAGAGACAGACAGACACACACACACATACACACACATACAAACACAGTGAGAGAGAACATCCACCCACTGGTTTACTCCCCAAATGGCAACAATGGCTGGGGTTGGGCCAGGCCAAAGCCGGGAGCCTGGAACTCCACCTAGGTCTCTCACAAGGGTGGCAGGGGTCCAAGCACGCAGGCCATCATCTGCTCATTGTTTCCCAGGTGTGTTAGAGGGAGTTGGTTTGGAAGTGGAGCAGCCAGGGTTTGGAACTGATACTCATATGGGATGCCAGTGTTGCAAGTGGCTGCTTAACCCTCTGCACTAAAACACCTGCCCCTGAATCCAGATTCTTATAAAGACTTTTTATTGTTTCAGAGTAGTTTTAGAAAAATTGAGCAGAAGGGTTATGGATTTCCTATGCACTCCCTGCTCCCATATCCCCATTATCAACATCCCCCTGCCCCACTTTCCAAAGTGTACATTTGTCACAACTGATGAGCTTACACTAATACATCAGTCTCCCCCAAAGTCCATAGTTTACCTTAAGGTTCACCCTTTGTACCGTACATTGTGTGGGTTAGGACAAATGTATAATGACATATACCCAATGTGGTGGCAGCATCCCGAATGTTTTCATAGTCCTTAAAAATCCTCAGTGTTCCATCTTTAGAATCCTGATTTGAATTCAGCTCCAAGATCATTTTATTGCACAACCAGGTTTAGAAATCACTGGTTCAGACACAGCTCCAGATGTATTGTCAGTGACTTACACAGGCAGTGGTGGTGGTGAAACAAGGCTTTGTGGCACCAGTGAGGAATATATTAATATTCTAATGCAAAGCCTCAAAAATTGTGTCAGAGTCTATCATTGACAAAAAACCTTAAGCAAAACCCTTCCACTCTATCTGTGTGTATATGTGGGGGTGAGAGGTGGGTGGATGAATTAACAGATAGATAGGGAGGGAGGGAGGACATGTAAATAGATACTGATAAAGTTTAGATATATATGTGTAAATTAGAAACATGTTCTGTTGTACTAATTCATACCTGTATTTTAAAGCATCCTAAAATAGGAATGTTAAAGAATAAGATCAATATGAGCTGTTTTTAAATCTAAGTTATTATAAATTCTACTCCAAGCTTTTAAGGCCATGGCAACACTTCTGAGCTGGAAGATACCCTCTCTTCTCTGAAAGTACTCTGGCTTGGGAGTAAGGGCACCAGCGTCAGTCTTTATATTAAACATTAGTAAAGATTAATTTCTCCCCTACTTACAGATAAAAGAAATATGAGCAGACATTCTGATAACCCTGAACACGTTCCTCCCCAGACATTGCCTCCATGTCCATATCTCCTCTCTCATGGCTAGCACCTTTGTATTCGACACCTCCTCCAAGTTCTGAGTTGCCATCAGATCTGAAGTGGGCTCCCTGGGTTATTCTATCTCCCTGGAATTGGTTTTTACCCATTTGTGATACCACAAATTGAAACTACTTTTGTTCAGAGTTTTGATGGCTGTTGCCCTCTCTGGAGGGTAAGGGTATGTTTCACTGTGTCTTGTGTCTGGCACACTGTCCAGCACAGCACCTGCAGCATAGTAGACTTGTGGGAAATATTTGGTTGGAACAAAAAATAAATGAGTTTCATCTGATAATAACTAATTAGGGTAGAAAAATTGTGTAACGGGAAAAAAAATTCTGTGGAGACCCCAAAATAAATTATTAGCAGTTGGATGTGAACCTAAAAAATGCATACTCTAAAGAAGCGGACAGTATTTAACATCAGATTATTTATGATTAAGACGAGCTAGAAGTAGGTATTTACAATCAAGGGTTTATAGACTTGAAAGACACATGGGGTGCAAGGAATAGGTGTGTGTCAATGAAAGGGGGAGGAGGTAGGCCATTAGTTAAAGACAGTCACTGAAACTAAGGATGCCCAGATGAGGAAAGGAAAAAAGATTATGTTTTGAAAAGAAGAGGGGAGAAATGAGCGGTCTCAGCAGTGACCTGAGCCCAGGCACACTTCTCCCCACCCAACCTTCTGCCAATCAGGTAAACTCCTGGATGCAACCCAGGCCCATTAGGCCCACCTCGGGAGCCATCCTGTCTACATGACCTTCAAGCTGATTGGATAGGCATATTGGCACCAGTGTCCATTCTGCCCTATGGTCAGCATTCCCCAGAATTCGTTACATCCCTTTTACCTGTACGTGCTTGTGAATAAACACGGACATGTTCACAGAAAAAAAATGATTATGTTTTGAAATAATTTAAATGGCATATAAGTGATTTGTGAATTTAACATTTTCTTAAAAACTTCCTTCTAGTACCGATTACCTATGTGCGGTGTAGTATTCTAGAATAGGAGGGAAAATTAGTGACAACCAGGTAGAATCTCAGAGAAGTCTATAATGAATAGTATTATACCAAAGTTAATTTTAAGAAGGGATTCCTAATTGTTTTCTTTTGTCATTTTATATTAAAATATTTCAATTACAGAAAAGTACACCAAAGAATTTAATGACCACACAAAGATTTAACAGCTTTTAATATTTTGCCATATTCACTTCATATATAAACATTATATCTTTCCCTTTTTAAGATTTACTTTGAAAGACAGAGTGCTAGGGCTGGCAACGCAGCTCACTTGGCTAATCCTCCGCCTGTGGCGCCGGCACCCCAGATTCTAGTCCCGGTTGGGGTGCCATATTCTGTCCCAGTTGCTCCTCTTCCAGTCCAGCTCTCTGCCGTGGCCTGGGAAGTCAGTGGAGGATGGTCCAAGTGCTTGGGCCCTGCACCCGCATGGGAGACCAGGAAGAAGCACCTGGCTCCTGGCTTTGGATCGATGCAGCGCCCGCTGTAGCAGCCATTTGGGGGGTGAACCAACGAAAGGAAGACCTTTCTCTCTGTCTCTCTGTCTCTGTCTAACTCTGCCTGTCAAAAAAAAAAAAAGTGCTAGGAAAAACACAAAGAGAAAGATCTTCCACTCACTGGTTCACTCCCCAAATAGCCAGTGGCTGCAGTTGCTGGAGCTGGGCCAGGCTGAAGCCAAGAGCATGCTGTTCCATTCGGATCTCTCCTGTGGGTGGCAGGGACCCAAGTATTTGGCCATCTTCCCTTGCTTTCTCAGGTGTATCAGCAGGGAGCTGGATCAGAAACAGCAACTGGGACTCATATCTGCACTCCAATGTGGGCTGTTGTAAGTGGGATGTAACCTGCTGTTCCTTGACACCAGCCTCATCACTGTTTCTGTCTTAGTTTTGACAATATACTATGGTTATGTCAGGTTTGAGGGATCTTCAAAGATTTCACAGAAAATGTATGTAATTAAAAACTGGTTAAATTTCAAAAAATTTTGCAGCAGAGTAAACTTCTCTTCTCATTCTGTTTTTCCATGAAGTTTGTGAATATTTTCATGTGTTAGGGAGAACTGTGTAGTTGGTATACAGGAATTCTCTCTGTACTGTCTTCACAATGTATCTGTATCTGTAAAATGCTTCTGTTATAGTCCCAGGAATATTCATCTTTATTCTAGGCTCTTGCCCACACAGCGATAAGAATTCAAAGCAGAGAGGCATACGCACAAGTGAAGGCAGGATTTATTTAAGAGAGAGAGAGAGAATATGCATTCACACATGACTGTGGGTCAGCCCACATGGAGAGATACTCACTGTGAGTGCGCCACAGAGCTGCCTATGAGGAGAGAGAGGGAGGAGGCGGCCCCCGAGGACCCTCCAGCATAGTCAAGAGGACAGTCTCCTTCATAAGACAAGGGGTGGAGCCTGGGTGAGTTTAGTGTGCGTGAGGCTTTCTGGGATTTTCATGGTGCCTTCATGCAGAGTTTAAGTTACATGTGGCCATCATGGCATCTCCTCCATCCTGTTCCTGGATGAGACAAGAGTGTCCTGGGAAAGTGGGCATATTAAATTGACATGTAAGGGGATAGAGTTGGACTGCAGGGTGGGCAGAAATCCCAGCTCACCTATTCCTACCTAATCTTCCTGCCAAGTTCCCCCATATCACTTCCAAGGTGGAAAAGCTTAAGAACCAAAAGGAGCTGATGACCATCACACTGTGTGGGACACTCCGCTCAGGTCCAGAGAGCAGCAGGGAGAACACAGAGGAGGAGCTCTCCTGCACGTGGGCCCCAGGCACCGGCACTGCTTTCACCAGCCCTGCATGGAGCAAGGCACAGTCTTGCTGAGC